CAGGGCTCCTACCCTGAGTCATTCTCCCCTCCCTGCCACTAGACACAGTGCCCACCTCACCTGAGGGAGCCACATGGCCCCATCCAGTGACAGTACACTGGAGACCATTGGGGAAGGAGGCATTGGCAGCAGGGAGGCAGATGGGCCGGATGTAGCGGGAAAAGGTGACAGGGCTGCTGAGTTGGAGGAGAGCAATGTCCCCCTGGGAGCCCTCCTGGTGGTAGCTGGAGTGGGAAATGACCTGTGCCACGGTGCGGACCTCAGCCTCAGGGGTGTAGGAGTCCAGCTGGTGGGCCCCCAGCTTTACCTCGTAATCCACCTTGTGGTGCTCCCTGCAGGGGGAGAGGCCAAGGCTGAGACTCAGGAAATACCTATCATCCCTGTTGCCATGTGGTATCCAACCCCAGATTCTGATCCCAGGCAACAGACCTTTTAGGCTCCGAACTGCACCCTAGTTTTATCCTGTGACCTGTGACCTCTGGCCTTCCCTTCCAACTGTTCCTCTCAGAATTTATTGATACCCCTGGACTCAACCCCAAAACCACAGCTCTGACCTAGACCCCTAAACTTTGACCAACAGCCCACTTTTGACTTCCCTGCCCTGTCCCCCACCCAGCAGGTACCTTGGGAAGCAGTGAGCAGCCGAGAGCACCCACTGCTCTGACAGGAGAGATCCGCCACACACGTGGATACCATCATAGGTGATGCTGACCTGCCAGGGCCACTGGCCAGGGGTTGCACTGCTACCACCTGTGATGCGTGCTTGGGAGGTCATACCGCAGAAGGCTGTCCAGGGAGGAAAGGGAGGGTGTCAGGCTCTTTTGGGGCCCCCACAGTAGTTCCTTAGCCCTGCCACTCCTGATACAGCCCAGGCAATCTGGTTTGGAGCTTGGGAAGTGAGTTCACAGAAGCCAGCCCTACCTTTTCCCCATCCCACTGCTTACCAGACACAGGCAGTCCTGCCCCCATTGCCATCCTCGACCCATTACCTAGTTCAGGGTTCATCAGACTTCTGCCTTCTATCCAGTCCACTCTTTAAAAGTCTGAAGATCTTTATAAACTACAAATCTGGCCATGTCATACCCCTTCTTAAATCCTTTGCTAGCCCCACACTGCCCCTTAAGATACATTCCAGACTTTCCATGACACTACCATCTACTCCAGCCATATCACACACACAGGGCCATCACTTGTTTGCCTGTAAACCTTGCTTAACCAGGTCACTCTGCCTACAATACCTTTCTTTATCCCTTCTGTGTCCACAAACTTCTGTTTACCTTTGGAGACATTCAGACGTCAGCCCCTACTTGGCCTGACCTGACCCTGCTGGCCAATGGGAAAGCTTTGTAGATCCCAGGTCCCCTGGGCTTCCCACCATTACTGCTCAGTCACACACCTGTTGTTCTGGTGTCTATGACTGCATCTGTTTCAACTTTACCAACCTGGGCATTCCCAAAGGGCAGGGACTAGGGTGAATGCCCATGTCCCTAACACCCAGCACAGGGCTGGGCACCCCAGATGGAGTCGGGGCTCTATGCTGAACAAAGGAAAAGAACTGTGCTCCCATGCCCTGAACGCCTGGATTCCAGAACAGCGCCACCCCCACCTAGGATGTTGACTACAGCTGGACCCAAGAGCCCTTGACAAAGTCACCTTCCCAGGAGCAAAGGGCACAGCCAGGCTCCTAGTCCTCTCTCCATAATAATGACAATAGCTACAATTCAGTGACTGGTCAAGCAATGGCAGGCCCTGAAGGGGCTTTCACTTCCTTTATCGACATGATTCCCTGGAGGCCCCAGGAGATAAACTTCATTTTAGAGATGAGGGGATCGGCCAAGGACACAGCCAGAACATGGTGAAGCTGGGACTGAAAACCTGATTCAGAGTTGGGTGGTGTGCCTTCTAAGAAGGACACTCATGGTTTGTTTCCCTTGAACAACCCACCTTTGAAGTCAGACTTGGGTTTAAATCCCAGCAATGTCACTTACTAGTGGGGTGCTCTTGCATAAGCCATGTCTGTGCCCTCAGTTTATCCCTGGAACGAGGGCTACAACTGCTATCTCACAGAGCTACTGAGGGGGTAGGGACTCATAGAAGACAACATAGGCAGGTAAGACGGCCCTGCAGAGAGAGGACCTGTGAGTGCAGGCACTCATTAGACACTCCAGGGGAATCTGAATCCATGTCCCCTCCTCTTTCCCTCGCCCACTTCTCCCAGCAAGCCTCACCTTCAGCCCCATCAGCTCCTGGAAGTAAAGAGAAAGAAGGAAGGGATAAGCAGGGAAGACCAGAGTTCCCAGATCCCTTAGCACCTGCCACCTGTCTTGAAGGCTGGTCCCTCTAGAAGGCCAAAGCTGAAGGGAGAGGAGAGGCTGAGAACTAGGGAGGCTGGAACCAAGATTCTTAAGCCCAGGATTAGGGAAGTGGCCCAGAAAAGGGTTAGACCGTTGGCCCTTGTGCTCCACTCCTCCCTGCCCACACATACTCACCCAGCCCGGACCGGAATAATCCAAGTGAAAGCACAAAGGCCACAGTCTCCAGCTGCCTAGGCCCCCAGCCAGCCCTCTGGACCATGGCCCAGGACCAGGGGCCCCTGGGGAGACACCAGGCACCCAAAGGAAAGGACCTAGGACTGATTTGGAAGGCAAGATCCAGTGTCAGGCCCAGAGGAAAGGGATCCTGGTGACCAAGGTTGGCTTCAAAGGCAGGGAGCTGGTACAAGGAGAGATGCTGGGGTCTCAGCAGCTGGCGGTGAGGACACGTCTTCAGCACGGCCTGGCTATGCAGAGACGTTCCAGAGTGCTGGCTCCTTAGGGAAAAAGAACCTACCTGCCCGCCCCTCCCCTGGCCCCGCCCTCCTCACGCTTTTGTAGCCGACAAGGACCTGCGTCCTCCCAGCACAACACCCTCCTCCCAACACACTGGTGGGGTGTGTGTGTGTGTGTGCAAGTGCGAGGAGCTAATAACACACTGGTGCGTGTGTGTGTGTGTGTGTGTGTGTGTCTGTCTGTCTGTCTGTCTGTCTTTGGGGGTGCAAGTGCGAGGAGCTAATTAGCCAGTCTGAGGGTGGGGGTGTGTGAGGATCTAATCGGCTAGAGCAGCCCCAGGCAGGGTCCCAGACCAGTTGTATCTGCCAGGGCCTGGCCCAGCCTTTGTGGTCCTGGACCACAGCCACCCCTCTCTGGTATCTGAGCTCAGGACACCCGGGTCTGCCCTTGGCCTTACCATTTCAGGGTTTCAGGCCCTTCTGTACAGCCTGCTGCCTCACCTGTGTGTGGTGAGGTGTGGTGAGTGTGTCTGGCAGTACCAATCATCCCACAAATATTTACTAGCACCTACTATGTTCCAGGCATAAGAGACAAAACAGTCCTCATCCCTGCCTTCCTGGAGCTCAAAGCAAAGTGGGATTACAGCCGAGAATCAAATAGTCACACAAGCAATTGCAGAATAAATTAAAATGAGTGGTGGAGAGAGAAAAACAGGGCCTCTGGGGACAAGTTCACAGGAGCTTGATGTAGGCTGGCATCAAGGAGGGTACCTCAAGGAAGTACATTAGAACTGAGACCTGAAGGTGTAAGGAAATTGTATTAACCAGGCAAAGATGGGGGAAGGGTGGTCCCTGTGAGGTACTCAGAGGAGGGAGCAGGTGGCATGGGTTCAGAGAGAAAAGGCCCATGTGCATGTGACTAGACTGGGAGTCAAGTGTGTCCTTTGAGTTTAAAAAGTCTGTGAGCAATTGGGAATGCTTGTTGGCTTCAAGCTTCAGAAGAATAAGCTGAGTTGCACTTCCCCACCTACCTTCCATAAGACTAGGTGTCTGGACCTCTTGAGCCCAGACTTCAAGGCCCAGACTGGAGGGGCAGGGACTTCCTGGAGTGGGTGAGAGGATGGAGGCTGACTCTGGAAGGGGTATAAGCTGGGAAGGAGGGAGCGAGACACTGGATGTTGTAGGTGGGTTTGGGTAGAGGGTGTGCAAATTAAATGTTTGTGGGGAGTGGCAGAGGAGTCACTGACTGGGTATGGGGAGCAGGTGGAAATGTATGTCCCTGTGGAGATTCAGGGGAATATTCTCTTTGGAGTCAGGGACCTAATGATAAGACTGGCTCTTTAATAACCTCTGCCCATTCCTCGATCTCCTAAAATGGTCCAACTTCCTTCTAAGTGTCTCCCTATCCTCTGCCTACTCAACCCAGAGATGGTGACTCCAGCCCCAGAGGTGCCCCTTCGGCACCCTCCTCAGCTGACTTCCACTCCAAGAGCCCCCTTCCCCAGGTCCCCATTTGCCCTTTTTCTGTGCTCACACATCACCTCCTGTATGACCCTTTTCTGACCCCACCAGGGCTGTCCATATGTGTCCTTACTGCACTGGGAGTTCTTCAAGGGCTTATCCATTGGACCCCAGCTGTGCCATGACTTAGTAGTTAGTAGGGAATGTAGCTGAATTAATGCAGGAGGTGCACCAGGGAGTGGTGGGTGAGGTAGTGGGATGTACATACAAGGGACAAGGGCCCATGGTGGGGCTCAAACCCCGGGGGCACTGGGCAGGATGTGAAAGTAGTGAACCTTTGAAGGGTACAGTGTACAAGGGAACATTGGAATGTACACTTTCAGGCATCATTTGTCAGAGTGTGTAGATGCGGGGGGTCCTGTGGGTATAGGTTATGGTAGACAGACCCTGGACATCCATCTCCTGGACTCTTCTTTGGACCCTCATCCTCAATCTTTCTTGCTTTGTGGAGAGGGTGCAGCAGGGACCAAGCTAGGGCTGAGGTGTCCAGCAGGTGCCAGGGATGCTGATTGCATTGGGGAGGTGACACACACCCAGCTGGCTGTCCACCCTCCCCCGCCCTGGGGCAGGAATGAGGGACAGCTGCCACGTTATCAGGGATACATTTCCTGGGAGCCCAAGGCCTGACTCACTGAGGCCCAGGAGGGAGGGGCCCTACTTGGGCTTCCCCCAGCCCCTCAGCCTGCCCGCAGCAATGCCACAAGGCTATGAGTCCGTGTTTACACCTTTATTGTCCGCTTGCTCTGCCCCCAAGGATTCCAGGGCCCAGAATAGCTGGGCACTGAGGCCCAATTATCTGAAGCCGCTGCAACCCAGGAGGGTGGGGTATTTTGGAGGTTCTGGCAAAGCAGCAGAGCTGGTTGGGTCACATTCCAGCCCCGCTGGGCATGAAGTGGAAGGCAGGAGGGGTGGGGAGGAGTACAGGTGACCCAGGGACCCAGGCCCCCTCAACCCTGGATCAGGAGGGTCAGGAGCAGCAGATACAGAGAAACTAGAGGAGAGCCTGAGGCTCCGGCCATGTCTGAGGGGCAGAGGTCACTGCTTTCAAGGGGCCACTGGGGATAGCCACTGGGCGGCAGGAAATGGGCCTCCCCCACTGTCTGGGAGATCCAGGCCTCTTCGGGGACAATAGCGGCAAATAGCTCCCGGCTTCCTCGAACAGCCATGCCCGTGAGAACCCAGGATCCTCCCTGAGTCTGGCACAAGAGTGGAGGTGCTGAGGTCACCTGCAGTGTCAGAGCCAAGGCCAAAAGGGTCTCTTACCCTTCCTCCTGGTCCCCTGCACCTTCTAGGTTTAAGGCATGAAGCACTGCTTGTTTCCATCCATCTTAGGCATCCTGGCCCCTGGTCTTGCCGAGGTCCAGCCAGAGAGGTACTGCTTCTTCCCATTTGGGGCCCAGCACCCAAGAATTCCAACCCTGACCTCCTTAGGGTCCAGATGCCCAACACTGCCTCTTCCCTCCCTGAAGCAGGGTGCCCAGACCCCTGTACCTCACACCTGTCCTCCTGCCCCTCTGCATACAGAACACAGAGAGTCCCAGGGGGCAGAATGCCCTGATAGAGGCAGTGACAGAGTCTTGGTGTCAAGATGGAGACAGCAGCAGCCACAGGGACTGGAGAGAGGAAAGATGATTGTCCCAGAGATTCTGGCCTCCAATTGCCTCTCACCCCAGGACCCAGGGCTCTCACCTCGGTCCTGGGGATCCTTCCAGCACAGCACCCAGCAGCTGGTCCCCAGGGGGATACCCCCTGGGTGAAGGCAGATGGGTAAGGCTGATGGGGAGGGCTCTACCCGGGAGCTCAGCTCCAGGAGGGCCAGTGGGGGCCAAGGTCCCAGATGCTGGGGCAAGTGGATGCTGATGACCAAACGGGATACCTGGTGGGCCTGTGGAAGGGGGCTGGCCCCTGCCCTGCCCAGGTACACTTCAGTATAAGGCACTGTTGTAGAGCCTGGCCTGTTGGGATAAGGCCCAATGTCACCTCCTGCTCTCCCCATTGCTGGTCAAGTCCTTCTCAGCCTAAGGGAAAGCATGGAATGAACCTCCAGAGTCATTCCACTAACTCCTTCCAAATGTCTCTTCTGTCCACAACACTGCAGAAGTTTCCCTGTGATGTAAGAGTCCTAAGGGGAGAATATCCCACTATGTAACAGTCCTTTTGCCCATCTCTCAGTTTTTCCCTCTTGCCCAGGAGATGGGTGAGACCCACCTGAGGACACAGTGAGTGGCTGCCAGGACCCAGCCTGGAGCCACAAGGATCCCAGCGCAGACTTGATATCCAGCCACATGCACCTCAGCGAGCCAGGGCCACAGGACCCCTGAAGGAGCAGGGTCTTGCCGCAAGCCACAGGCTAGGGAGGGAAGGTGACCATCTCAGTGGGAGACCCACAGCTGACCCTTGAAGTCCCTGTCATGAGTCTTAGCACTCCTAGGAGACCCTAAGCCCTAAAGGCCTGCTCCTCACCACCATATTCTGTTGTGGGGGGACAAATCTGTGTCTCAGTCTCCTCCCCCTCAGGGCTCCAGTCCCAGGCCAGCTGGTCTTCCAGGTAGGCTCCCCGAGCCACATGGCTGATCCATGGGCTGTGGGTCTGCAGTGAGTGGAAGGCTCTGGGACGTAGGCAGTCACTAGAGAAGTCTCTGATTCCAGCCAGGAACCAGGTCCCCTCCTCCCGGCACAGAAGACTCCAGTGAGAGTAGTTCTGCTGCAAGAGAGTGGGTGCGCAATTTGGTGAGAGGGTACCAAAGGTCCCGGGCCTTTCCTGGACTCCACGCTCTCCCATACTCGTTAATAATGAAGCCCACCTCCTCCAAGTAGTAGAGGCCCCAATACTAACCTTAATGAGAAATCAGCCCTTCACTTTAAACCTAGAGGTAGTCAGGTCCCTCCCCTAAGTCTCTTAGGACCAAACCCCGTCCCCAACGTGCTGTGGCCCCGCCTTAATCCCGCCTCCACCCCCAGAGCGCTCAAACTTCCTTCCTAGTTCCCCTCAGGCCCCGCCCCCAGCCCCTTGCTAACTCGGTTCCCCAGGCTCCGCCCCTCCTCCACTTCCCCAAAGCTCACCCAGCAGCGGCCCGCCTCCTCCTCTTCCTGGTAGGCAGTGCAGAGCGACTGTGGCGGGTCTCCTGGAGGCGGCACTGACGCCCCCTGGCGGCCATACAGGCAGTGGCACCACCAGCCGTCCAACAGCTCCGCCTCCAGCAGCGAGTTGGGGCCCGGCGCGGGGTCTGGGAGGAGATGGGAAGGAACCCGCGCTGCCGTGAAATCCGCCCGGGCTCCGCCCCACTCCACGTCACATTCCTGCTCACCCCCACGGCCCCAGCGCGCCAGGCGGCAGCGGCTCCCGGGCAGGAAATAGTGTTCCGAGTAGGGTAGGCACACTGGCCGCGGCGCCACGCTCAGGTTCACGGGCGCGCGCAGCTCCAGCAGCGCCAGGTCCGACGCGTCGTCCCATGAGGCATTCTCGTGCGGCACGAGGCGCGCCACCTGCTCAGTGCGCGGGCGTGAGGGCAGCAGGACGCGCCAGTTGTCCAGGTCACGGGGCAGGCGGTCTGAGCTGATGGGGCAGCGGGATGGAGAGACTGGGGACGTGGGCCGGATCCCGCACACTCGGCTCCAAACCTCTTGGCTTGGACTCCACTGAGGATCCTGCGTCCCCGGCCTGAGAACTGCGTGCGCATCAGACCTCTGCCCCGCATCCTCCATCGAACTTATACTACCCTAATACTCGCCCTAGACAGACTAGGACCCCACTTTGGGAGCTAGATCCTACACTTCTAAATGGAACCCCACACCCTTCCCCTCCCCGCCCAAGGAAAGGGCTGGGCTGGGTAGACAGTAGATAGTATCTCAGGCCAATGTGGAGAACAAGAATCTGGCTGAGACAGGGTTTTCACTCACTCCAGAAAGCAGCTGGCAGGTGCCAAGACCCAGCTTTCAGACACCAGCACCCCATGGCAGGGTCTGGATCCTGGGACCATCACCTGGGCCTCCCAGGGCCAGGTTCCTGGCCGTGGGGCCTTACCGCACTCTGAGGGGTGAGAGGCCAGTGTCAGGGGGCATCCTGAACCCCCAGCAGTTTCCACCCCAACTCAAATCTCCCATGTCCAGCTGACATCCAGCAGTCCTGCCTCCTCACCTGGCAGGGCGATGGTACAGTTCTCATTTGTGGGCTCCCAGGAGTCTGACTGGGGCTCCTGGGACTGGGTGGGAAAGGCAGGCCCAGGCGCTGAGCCCATCACCTGTTCCCGTATCCATGCCTCATAGGGAGCCACAGCAGTGAAGACTCCGGGGCGGTTCCTCCTTCCACAGCCAAAGCCAAAGCTGGTGATTCCTGCCTGGAACCATCGGCCACCTTCCTCACAGACCAGGGGCCCCCCAGAATCTCCCTGATGACAGATGACTCAGTGTTAGGGGATCAGCCCAGGGACCCACCAGCTTGTACTGGGCCACCTCATAAAGGTTCTATATCTCCTATTTTTGGCCCAACATACAGACACCTTCTTCTAGGAACCTGCCTTGGCTGTATTCCCTACAACTCTAAACAGAAGAAAGCCTTGTAAAGAAGCTGATGAGCAGCCAAAACCACGAGGACCAAGCTAATGCATTCAAGACTATGCCAGAGGGGCCCACAGGTCTCATTCAAAGCCAAGTGATTCTTGTTCAATAAACAGTTCAAATGAGCCATGTTCTTGGTTTCTAAGTTCACTCAATTGTTAAAGTAAATCAGAGATGTCAGCATTTAAGAGGGAGAGGCTGTTAGAAAAGCAGCAAGAAGGAATAATTTGACAGCAAGTAAGGAAGAAAAACTACAATGATGAGACACTAAATGGTTCTGTGACCATTTCATGCTGAAGAATTGTTCCTAAGTCATCTCTGTAGTCCCGGTCAGGCATCTCTGTGACCTGAGGAGGATCACAGAAGGCTCAAAATCATCTAGACGTGTCCTGTCCAATATGGTAGACACTAGCTACATGTGGCTATTTAAACTTTAATTAAAATTAAGTATTTAATTAAAATTAAATATTCAACTCCTCAGTTGCAATAGCCACATTTTAAATGTTCAATATTGAGCCAATGTGGCTAATGACTACTATACTGGACAGCGTAGATATAGATTTCCATCATCATAAGAAGTTCTATTGGACTGCACTGGTCTAGAAGAATTCAAATTGTTTGCAGATCTCTTCAGGATGGCAGAGATTATGCCTATAGGCTGGGAACCTCATAATTAGGAGGGACCCCGACAACCATCTATTTGAATCCCCATCACTGCCATGTATGCTTGAGTGCTCTAAAAAATGTGTATCAAAAGCAATATAGAGGTTCCTCAAAAAACTAAAAATAGGAATACTATTTGACCTGGTAATTCCACTCCTAGGAATTTACCCAAAGCATACAAGTTCTCAGATTCAAAGACATATGCACCCCTATGCTTACTGCAGTACTATTTACAATAGCGAAGATATGGAAGCAACCTAAATGTCCATCAATAGATGAATGGATAAAGACGATGTGGTATATATACACAATGGAATACTATTCAGCCATAAGAATTTTTTAAATCCTACCATTTGTAGCAACATGGATGGAGCTGGAGGATATTATGCTCAGTGAAATAAGCCAGGCTGAGAAAGACAAGTACCAAATGATTTCCCTCATTTGTGGAGTATAACAATGAAGCAAAACTGAAGGAACAAAACAGCAGCAGACTCACAGACTCCAAGAAGGGACTAGTGGTTACCAAAGGGAAAGGGTGGGGAAGGGCGGGTGGGGAGGGAGGGAGAAGGCGATTGAGGGGTATTATGATTGGCACACATGGTGTGGGGGAGATCATGGGCAAGACAGTGTAGCACAGAGAAGGCAAATAGTGATTCTGTGGTATCTTACTACACTGATGGATGGTGACTGCAATGAGGTATGGTGGGGGGACTCAATAACGTGGGTGAATGTATCAACCACATTGTTTTTTCATATGAAACCGTCATAAGAGTGTATATCATTAATACCTTAATTAAAAAATGTGTATCATTTGAGGAAGGTTTCTGTGAAAATTGGTTAAAATATATTATGGTTTGACCTTCACCAGGTTATTTGGACAATTCCCTTCTGTGAAGGATTAATTCATTTTTAAAAATAATTATTTTGAGTATCTACAAAGTAACAGGTGTTGTGCTATGGCTGATATGTGGGATAATAATAGCTAATACCTCTTGAGCCCTTATAAAGGACCAGACATTATTCTAGTGCTTTAACATGTACAAATTCATTTAATCATCATAACCACCCTATGAGGTAGATAACAGTATCATCTCTATTTTCCAAATGAGAAAGTATGGACGCAGGGAGGTCAAATAACTTGGCCAAGGTCACACTGCTCATAAGTGGTGGTGCTGGGCTTCTCACCAGGCTGGCTTACTGCAGAGTGACCACTGCACTATACTGCCATAAATAACAGTGCTCATGGTGTTGACAGTCCCAAGTTCTCTCCATTTATAATCTTCATATCCTCCCATCCATTGGCATTCTTGCCCTCTTCTTGCAAATTAGACTCAGAGATATGAGAAAAATGGGATTTGTCTGTTTCTCACACTTTTTCCTATTGGTTAGGAGGGCCAGGCAGGTGCAGGGATCTCCCCTCACCTGGCAGGTGTCCCTGTGGCCCTCCGGGTAGCCAGCACACAGCATCCCTGGCAATAGCTGGAAAGTGAGGTTGAAGGGGCCAGGCTGACTGTAGAGACACTGACAGGTGGCCTCTCCCAGCAGCCTTAGTTCTACTTCTTGTAGCACCCAGGGGAGAGGCAGGGGGTCTGTGGGCAGAACCAGAGAGCAAATGCTGTGAGGCGGGCAGGTTCCCCAGGGCTCAGCTTTGTACCCTCCAGCTCCTCCTAGACATCTCTATCTAGATGCCCCTTGGCATCTCAGCCCACCACAACCTGAACCAATCATTATCCTCTCCTGCTCCTCTCTCTTCTTCTTAGTACATCCTCACCTCAGGAGTGGCCCCTCAGGCACCCGGTGAGAGCTGCCATGGATGGCTGTGTACTTCACAAAGGTGCCTGGCCAACAGAGGATGCATGTGGGGGCTGAAATCACTCAGTTCTCAGCCCTGACATGAACTGTGCCAGTCCTGAGAGGGCATGCCTTTTAACAAAGATACCATATAGAATAGATGTACAGAGTTGCCAAGCATGGTATCTGGATGCCACACTTGACCCATGTCTCAACTTCCCTTCTGCAGTCAGTTTCCAAGTTCTGAAAACCTCTCATTTGTGTCTTCTTGGCATTTTCATTGCAACTGCCCTAGTTCAGGAGGCACAACCTTGGGCCTGGACGACTGGCCCAGCCTCTTCACTGGTCTGATCCCCAACCCAAATTTCACTCATCACGGCCAGAGGAATGTTTTTAAAGATCAGCTCTGAGCTTATCAGGAACAATCAATGGATCCCACTGTCTAAACCTCAGGCCTCAGCCCTTTCCTGAGGTGATTCTGCTTTTGATGGAAACAAAGTCTCAGAATCCACAAATTGGGGTGGGGGATGGGCAGACAGTTTGGACAGAGTTCCTTGCCTCCCACCTAGAATCTGAGAGGTCAGGTGATGGCTGAAGCTGTACATGAAGGCCAACTAGGGAGGTTTGGGGATTATCCTAGGGACCCCTATAGCTGGTGGGGTATGGTAGCCTCAGTCTCATCTTGAGGCCTTCATGGCTCAGCCCCAGCTGCTTTTGCAGCCTCAGTTGCCTCTGTTCCCTCCACTCCAGCTGGACAGCCTTGTTCTTCTCCATCTAATATGCCTCACCTGGGTCCTCATCTCCCCCACATTTCTGTGATGCCAACCTATATCCTCTCTTTCCAAAATCTCTTGTTATGGGTGTCCTTTGTCAGGATGGAGTGGCTCTATTCACTTAGGGCTTCCTGCGTGTTCAAAATAACCCTTTCTTGTCACCTCCTGCTCTGAGACTCCTGCACACAGAGGCTGTGGCATCTCCTCCTGAAGCACCCTCACCAAAGTCCTGGGCACTGCACAAGTCTGATCATAGCAGATGGCGAATAATTTGGGGGCTTTGCTAACATGGGAAGGTAGCACTGGATAATGGGAATGATGGGGAATGGAAAAGCAGTCTATTTCCCCCCACACCTTCCAACATAAGTGTTTGCTTATTTATTGAATTTAATGTTTGTTTACCCACTAGAATCTAAGTCTGAGAAAGTTTGGAATTTTGCTTGTTATGCTCGTTGGTGTATCTCTACATCTGACACAGTGCCTGGCACAATGATGTGCTCAAGAAATGTCTGCTAAATGGGTATACAATGGGGAAATGACAGCCTCTTCAACAGCTGGTGTTGGCAAAACTGGACAGCTACATGTAAGAGAATGATACTGGATTACTGTCTAACTCCATACACAAAAGTAAACTCGAAATGGATCAAAGACCTGAATGTAAGTCATGAAACCATAAAACTCTTAGAAGAAAATATAGGCAAAACTCTCTTGAATATAAACATGAAAAACTTCTTCATGAACATATCTCCACAGGCAAGGGAAACAAAAGCAAAAATGAACAGGTGGGACCATATCAAACTAAAAAGCTTCTGTACAGCAAAGGACACCATCAATAGAACAAAAAGGCATCCTACAGTATGGGAGAATATATTCATATATGACATATCCAATAAGGGGTTGACATCCAAAATATACAAAGAGCTCATGCACCTCAACAAAGAGCAAATAAGCCAATAAAAAAATGGGCAGAGGAGCTGAACAGACACTTCTCCAAAGAAGAAATTCAGATGCCTACCAGGCACATGGCAAGATGCCCCACATCGCTAAACATTACAGAAATGCAAATTAAAACCACAATGAGATATCATCTCACACCAGTTAGGATGGCCACCATCCAAAAGACAAACAACAACAAACGTTGGCGAAGAGGTGGAGAAAGGGGAACCCTTCTACACTGCTGGTGGGAATGTAAGTTAGTTCAACCGTTGTGGAAAGCAGTATGGAGGTTCCTCAAAAAACTAAAAATAGAAATACCTTTTGACCCAGGGATTCCACTCCTAGGAATTTACCCTAAGAATGCAGGAGCCCAGTTTGAAAAACACATATGCAGCCCTATGTTTATCGTAGCACTATGTAAAATAGCCAAGAAATGGAAGCAACCTAAGTGTCCATCAGTAGATGAATGGATAAAGAAGATGTGGTACATATACATAATGGAATATTATTCAGCCATAAGAAGAAAACAAATCCTACCATTTACAACAACATGGATGGAGCTAGAGGGTATTACGCTCAGTGAAATAAGCCAAACAGAGAAAGACAAGTACCAAATGATTTCACTCATCTGTGGAGTATAAGAACAAAGCAAAAACTGAAGGAACAAAAGAGCAACAGACTCACAGAACCCAAGAATGGACTAACAGTTGCCAAAGGGAAAGGGGCTGGGGGGTGGAGGTGTGTGAAGGGAGGGATAAAGGGAAAAAGGGGCATTATGATTAGCACACATAACGTAGGGGGGCACGAGGAAGGCAGTACAACACAGAGAAGACAAGTAGTGATTCGATAGCATCTTACTCCGCTGATGGACAGTGAGTGTATTGAAGTATGTGGTGGGGACTTCATAATGGGGGGAATCTAGTAACCACAATGTTGCTCATGTAATTGTATATTAATGATACCAAAAATAAATAAATAAATATTCATTGAATAATGAAAGATGGACTGAATCAATGAGGCCATGGAGGGAAAAGATGAGTGTGGGGAAGTAGAGAGCAGAGTGGGGGGAGGGGAGGGGGGGAGGAAGAGGGTCCCGAGGAAAGGAGGGCATAAACTAATCTTTGCTGAATGCCCACTATATGCCAGGTGCTGTGCTTTTATTGCAAGGATTACCTAAGGCAAAAATACCTAAAATGCATTAATTACTGCTATATCGGGCACTGTGGTATAAACTTCACATGGGTTTTCCCATTTAATCCTCCCAACAGCCCTATTAACTGGAACTATTTTCCTCAGTTTTCAGAGGAGGAGGAAATGGACTGGGTGAAGTGCTTTGCAATAGAGCTGGGATGGGAACCCTAGTCGGAATACTAAATTCTGGAAAGAACTGGAAGGGAGGGTGAGGAGGTAAAGGGGGGTGATTCAGTAGTCTCAGCTTGAGAGCCCTTGGAGAGGAGGATAGATGAAGAAGGGTAAGCACTGAGCCATGACCTGGCACAAACCGGTCCTCCCGGCCAGGCCCCGGGGTTCGCCCCTGCCCCAGCGCCCGCCCACCGGAGGCCCCCAGCTTTTAGGACTCTCCCCCGAGGTCCCGCCCTGAGAACTGCTTAGTAGGCTCCACCCTGCGATACCACACCTCCAGGGAGTCCACACCTCACTCACCCGCCTCCTGGATGTCCCCCCAGCCGGTGGCCCAGCAGACAGTGCCAGGAGCGAAGCGGTGCGAGGCGCGGGGCAGGCAGACGGGCTGCACAGCAGCGCTCAGCCTGGCAGGTGAGGCCAGGCGCAGTAGGGCTAAGTCGGCGCCCAGTTCCACTCTGCTGTAGTTGTCCGGCACCAGGATGGCAGCCACTGCGCGGATGTGCGCGCCGTTCAGGGGCCCTTCCTGAGAGTGCACGCCCAGCAGTACCGACCACCTGGCCGCGGGCTCCAATGTCCCGTTTCTGCGCCAAGGCCGAGGTGGGAGGGAGTTAGGTGGGTCCTATGGAGGGGGCAGACCCTTGTGGGGGTGGGGTTTCAGAGACAGAAGATAGGGTGAGCACGATCCCAGGAAGGGCGGAGTCGGATCCAGATTTGGAGCTGGCGAGATCGAGGTTGAATTAAGTCTCCTAAAAGTGGGAGGAGTGTGTGCGATTTGGTGGTGGTTGATTGGGGTCATTGAAATTCTTACTGGGAACTTTGGTGGAGTGGTGGGACGAGTCTGCAGACGGCCTCACCGCACTGAAAACCCGGATAGCCGGTAGAGTACATAGCTTAGGGGGAGGGGAGGGGAGGGTGGAGGGGAGGGTGGAGGGCGGGGTAGCTGGGCTCCAAGTTAGGCTTGGGTATGCGGGCTCTATTTTCGGGGCGGCCTTGCCTTTTGAAGGAGAGGGGTTGGATAAGGGCAAGTACTCACTCCACGAAACAGTGAGCAGCGGAGAGGACCCAGGAAGGGGCGATGAGGGAGCCCCCGCAGACGTGCCCACCCTTATGATGCAGGCTCACCTGCCACGGCCAGGTGCCAGGCTGCGCATCTGAACCCCCCGTGATGCGGTCAGAGGGCTCAGGGCGACCGCAGTCTGCGATGGGGTACGTGGAGGTCAAAGCCCGCCCCTGTCCCCCAAGCCAGAGGCCCAGGTAACTCAGGACAAAGCCTGACCCCCACCCTGCTTCCGTTTGCCTCCCTGATCAAAGAACGAAGAGGACCTAGACACTATTTAGTTTCTGGTTGCTTCCACCTCCCTCATGGCCCAGCCAGCATTAACCTCCTTTAAGATCTGAGGAACACCCACTCATCCTTACCCAGATCTTCAGGCTCTTCTTGGCTAGGACTGAGAGCTGGGAGTTGGGGTAGAGAGGAAGATGTTGGTGACTGCTAGTCCCAGACACTACTCAGCCCCCATTTTCCTTCGTTTCACCCCTCCCCCTCTTCCCAATTCCCTGCCCTTCCAGCCTTCCTGCCAGCACCCATGCTACCCCTTCTATCTTTCCTGCCTCTGCACCTGAGTCCTGGAAGGCTCCTGGGATGGGGCAAATGGCTGGAAGGAGGGAGGGCGGAAGAGACTGGAGACCTATGTGCCCTCCCTGACTCCTTCCCCTGAAGCTTTATGCTTACTCCCTCTCTGATGGCACCCAGGACTCCTTTCCCATACACCTCACTCCCTCCTTCTGACGTTCCCCTCCCCTTCCTCCTCTGACACCACGCTCCCCATGCAGAACCCAGGAGTCCTGCTTTCCAGCTCCCCAGATGCCAGGACCCAGGCCCTTGGCATCCCTCTCTGTCCCCCAACATTACCGAGGATCACAAGTGCAAGGAGCAGTTGCTGGGACATGGCACATGTGAGTCAGCTGGAGACACAGAGATGGGTGAAGTTCTCTGCTCCTGCCACAGCTCTGTCACTGCCTTGGCAGCCTGTGACTCCTGATGGTCCCAAGAGCAGCCCCACCCTCCCTGGCTCAAGCCCATCTCTGGGAATTTGAGATCTGGGACTGGAAGGGGGAAGTAGGGAGCCTGAAGTCCCCACCCAGAGCCCTGTGTACATCTCACATCTCTGGAGGCCCAGGGTGGGGGTGGGAGGCAGATGTCCTACCTCCAGGACACCTCTCAGGTTGGGGAGGGAGGAGTGGAGAACCCTGTGGGCAAAGGCAGCAGGAGAGGACAGCCAGGGGCTGGGAAGCCAATGTTCTGAGTCCTTGGTAAGGCAGGGCTACAGGTGAGTAGTGGCCCTTGGAATGCAGGAGGTAGCCTCTCATCAGTGTAACTCACCTGAGACCTAACTTCTGTTTGGGGTGGGGCTGCCCCAATGGCGTGGTCTTTTCTTCTCACACAGCTCTGGTTACTGGAGTTACTGGCCAGATCTGGGACTGGAGCCCTAGGGAATTCAATCCCATCCCAACAAAAGGATCACACATTCCAGCAGGTTGGGCAAGGCATAGGGTTCTGGGAGGGGTTTGGGCACGCTGGCAAGGCCTAAAAAGACTACACCTCTCTAGGTGTTAGAGTACTCTCAGGTGATTTGTCACTTACTCTTTGTATGACCTTGGGAAAGTCACTCAACCCTTAAGTGTATTATCAATGAGTTCACTTAAGAAACATTCTGGGCCTTAAAGAGGAACTGAGGAGAGTTTAATGAAGTAAGTATTTATAGAGATGTGGGCAGAGTTGAGGGAAAACAACATTGTATGGTGATGTACCCTGGGGCTAGCAGTAATGGAGAGCCCTGCCTGAAGAGGCAGAGAATGAAGAGAGGGAGCAGCTGCTGAAATTGAGAGAGCTGTAGTGTTAGAAGACCAGACAATGTGAAAGGGTATCTCGCCGTGACCCTCCTTACCCAGGATGACTCAGGAGACACGGGCCCACGCAAGAGACTTTATTATCTGAAAGAGAAGATGGCTGCCCCCAGAGAGAGGAAGCAGCAACTCGTGGGTGAGGAAGCATGTTTTTAAGGAGTAGGGGTAGGGTGTGTTCTGCATGGGTGATTAGATCTTAAGGGGTGGGCAACCGTCTGGTTGGTGGTGATTGGATCTTAAGGGGTGGGGGGGTCTTAGCACACCAGAATTTGCCTTCACAATGAGAGCACCTTTGATGGAGCCTTTATCAGTGTGTGGCTCAGTCCTGAGGGAGCTGGGAAATAAAAGTCCCCATTTCCCTCTCCTTCTGTTGGGGAATATTTTCCTCGGTCTTTGTCC